TGAACCAATGATTCTTATTCTTACATCAGTATAAGAATAACATGCCCTTTCCATGAAATATTAACATTATTTTACACCGGTATAATTTACACTCTCAGTTTTGGCCATTGATCTCACTTATATTTAACGAATTTGATTTTTTAGTTATATGAGCTATTGGATACAAGTGGATCAATGATAAAAATTGAGTATAAAATTTCTTATTCTTACACCGATGTAAGAATAACATGCCGCTTTCATGAATGGTTAAGACCATTTTAAATTGGTGAAAACTATATTTCAATTTTGGCCATTAATCTCAAGTATATATAATTTTTTGGTTATATAAGCTATTGGATACAAGTGTAAGATTTCTTATTCTTACATTAGTGTAAACACTGGCGGACCTACATCAGCGTAAGATTTCATTTGAAATAGCTTGAAGAGTAAAGTACCTTTTGGGTCCTCAACAAAAATTGAGGGGCCCATTTTAATCCGTAGAAAAAAAAATCGACTTGTGATTCCTCTGAAATTCAATATAGACACAGTTAGTCAAAATCGTGGTTCCTCTGAAATTCAAAGAAGACTCACGTTAGTACCTCAAAAAGACTAACATGGGTCTATTTTGAATTTCAGAGTACCACGATTCGACTTCTTTTTTTTCCTAAGGGATTAAATTGGGCCTCGTGATTTTTGTTGAGGATCCAAAAGATACTTTACTCTAACTTGAAATAGCATTTGCAAAAAACAATGAGTAAATATCCTTTTGAGTACTCAATAAAAAATATGAAATCCATTTTAATCTCTTAGAAAAAAAGTATCTATATTAGTCCATTTTTAGGGACTAATGTGAGTCTTCTTTGATTTTCTGAGGGACCATAATTTCAAAAAATTGGAATTTTAGAGGGACCATAAATTATCTTTTTTCCTAAGGGATTAAAATGGGTTTCGTGTTTTTTGATAAGGACACAAAGGGTATTTACTCAAAAAATGAGATATGCGTGGAATAACAAAGCTTGATATATGTGAATAGTTTTTTTTTTTTTTTTTTTTTTGGAGTTACCCAACCCTAATTATCTCTTTGAGACGAGTTGGCTCCCTCCGGTATCCCCACGAGCTTCGACTCTTTGAGCCGGCTATGAGACTAATCCGGAGTGCGGGGGAACAGTGATGGCTAAAGGTTCAGCCCCCACCCCAAGAATGCATTCAGCGGGAATCAAACACATATCTCTTCTTGTTTATTTCTTTTATTTTTTAATGCATTAAAATTTCTTAAAATATTTTTGTTCGGGAGCGCTGCCCCAAACCCTAGTCATTAAGTGTGTAGACATAAATAAAATTTTCTGGATCCGCCACTAAGTGTGTAGACATAAATAATTTTATATTTGGTAAAATAAATTATTTTTAACTAACTAATTAGGTAAATAATTTTTGAAAGATAACTAATATGAAAACATTTGGAGAACTAATAGGACGACATCATAATCTTTAAAGGATCATAATGAGGTTTTATCTTAAAATAATTCACATTATCCTCTAATAGTGTCATAATAAAATAATGTCAACGAGATTACCAAAAAAATATAATAATAATAATGTCAACGTACTTCCCAGGCTATCTTACTTGAATCTTTGATGTTATATTTGTTTTCTAAAATGTCAATTATAAAGAGTTAAACACTAATGTTTGTGAAATGAAAAATTATTTAATGTTCTTAATTTCTTCAAACCAAAGATAAAATTATCTTCCTCATATATAGGGGAGCGATTGAGTTTTTTTTTTGTAAACATTTTTTATTTCTTTTCTTCTCACATGATATTGAGCAGAAAACAAAAATTAATTTTATCATGTTTAAATTTATTTTTTTATCCAATATTTAGTTTCTAATTCATCTGTTCTTATTCTATTTATTTAATTATTACATATTGATATTTCATATCAATATATTTGAGATGGATTAAAAACAAAACTAACTTTATCATGTTTAAATCTACCTTGGACAATTTACAAAAAAAAAAAATCTACCTTGGACAAGTTTACTTCTATTTTTTCAATATATTGTAAAGAATCTTGGGATACACCACCTCAAAAGCTAGCTCAAAGGGTGAGAGTGCCCAAGGCCTTATAAAGGCCACATTAGTTGCCCACACAATCAATGTGGGACAATATATCTCAACACGCCCGACCACGCAAGAGCCCTTTGGGCTAGAAGCGTGCTGCACAGACCCAATTTTTGGTTTACCTTTTCGTGCTTTTTATTTTAATTCCACTTGAAAGTGGGGGGCCGTGAGAATCGAACTTGTGACCTTATAGTCACTCAAGCTCTGATACCATGTTAAGAACCTTGAGGTCACCACCCCAAAAGCTAGAATATAGTCCCACATTGGTTGTATGTGCAACTAATGTGGAGTTTATAAGGCCTTGGGCACTCCCACCCAAAAGCTAGCTCAAAGGGTGGAAGTGCCCAAGACCTTATAACCTCCACATTAGTTGCATATATAACGAATGTGGGACTATATATCTCAACATATATATATCGATATATCATGTTTAAGCTATTTCAAATAACATTATTTTTTAACAAAATTAAGGAAAAATATAACAATAACTCTTGCAATGAAGTAAATAATGTAAAGCATAGTTGTTCAAACCATATATGAGCAATAATAATAAGGGATTAATGTTTCTCGTAGGAGATAATTTTATTTCCTACATACACATAAAAGTGTGTAGAAGTCATGTGGGACCATGTGAAAAGAAAAGAAATAAAATTAAAACATAGACTCCATATATATTTATGTGTGTATAGGAAATAAAATTATCTCTTACAACATAAAAAATATTAATCCCTGATAATTAGTGGCTGAGCCACATTGTGTGTGCGGGTCCCCCAACGTGTTTGTAAAAATTAGCCATATTTTGAATGCGGTTAAGTTTTTTGATAAAATTTAGTGTTAATTTTTGTTGACCCTAGCTTCATGAATAGGTTGGCTACGCCACTACTTAATGATAATTGGTTTTTAAAAGTGAACTCTCGCTCCACCATTGCTGCTAATATATAAACCTTCTTCGTGAGTTTGTCCACCAGGATACGCAAGCTGAAGAACAAGTATTTCGCGCCTCAACTTTTCAGATAGATTGAACGTAGAAAATATTTCCCTTTGTAAAGCTTGTAAAAAATAGAAGTATTGGGCTGTAATTAACAACCTTCAATTGAAAGCTCCAAACCATGTGATCTTCAGAATCCGGTATTCCCCAATAATCTTTTGGAATGCACAGTTTCCACTCAAACAGTTTAACACCAACTTAACCAACAAGTATCCCTTCAATTCCCTGCTGACCCCAACAAGCAACCCTGCATACCATGATATGATGTTACTTCAAATAAAAAATGGAAGCTTAAAAAAAAGAGCTGAAGCACCGAATTTAATCATAAATCATAATTTCCTTTTCTGCATGACAGAGCAGCAATACAATACGAGCATGTGCTTATTGCTCTGCTTAATGCAAATACAACACCACTATCAAAACATAATTCTCTGAAAAAATATGTTGATAATATGACAGTTAATTTTTCGAGTCTTTTTATATAATTAAGCTGTTACTCTATACTCATTAGTTTCAGTGTAAACAATGTTTTTCATTCCCAAATTAAAATAAGAATCCAACCTCGTCATGAAACCTCAATCGATCCAAAGAACAAAGACAAAATTTAGTGTGTGCGGAGAACTCAATTCTCACAAATGACACATGCAATTTCTTTAACCTGCTGTTTTCTCTTTGGACTTAAAGTCATGACACATGATAAAGGTGCCATGCATGTTCCTCGAATTAATTCTTGTATGTAGAGGATCTAATTAACTTCAATGCATTAGACCAGTACAATATTGACAAATTATTTTTTATTAAACAAGTGAATAGTCAATGCTTCATTGTTGACAAATTTTGAATAGTCAATGCTATCTCTTGATTGTTACATGAACTTAGACAACATGTTGATCCAAAGCAGAAGCCAAATTAAAGAGATCATCTTTACCGTAGTATCGTTTGATAGTCAAAGGCAACCATCCCGTATATAGATTTTATTATTTTTAAAAAAAGTCCGGAGAATTATTATGTTTTGGGCAATAATAGTTCCCCCTCCTAATAAAAGCTGTATTGAGTGAATAATGAGATGATTGTGATAAGTAGAGTAGCGGCTTTGCATTAACTCATTTTAAGGTTAACAAAAGTTTTACTCAAAAGTTTTCTGAAAGAGTTTTTAAGAAAATAATTAATTTTCGAAAATAATTTTTTCTCAAACATGTACTATTGAATGTTTAACAAATCTCAAAAATTGCCAAAAAAGAAAGTTTCTCTGGTTGGGAAGTACGTTGTTGTATCTATCCGTGACACTATTAAAATATTCCCAAATCCATATTTAATTAACGGAATTTTTTTTGTTATTTTAAAGGATAAAAATTACGTCATTTTAGCTGCTTATAATTATGTACTTTCGAGAGTAAAGTACAATTTTAATATTATAACTATATACTACCAGGTGTACATAGTAGTAAGCAGTTAAAATGACACAAGTTACATCAAACCATTTTTCCTTTAATTAAACATTCAGTTGATTTTTCTTCGTTCCTTTGTTGCTTGGAATGATCAGTTGGATCCGCAAGAGGAGGTGGTGCACTTTTCGGTTTGTGTTTTTATTATAAGGTTGAGAGATAGGCAAATAAGGGAATATCCAATTTGCCTTTCAAACCCCATTTTAATGATGTAAAGTAAGAGAACCATATTGAGAAAGTAAACAAGGACACATCAGATAAAGTATTTACAGGTGGAAGGGTGTTAGGGTTTAGTTAGATGTCGAAGGGAGGAGTTATGAAAATTAATACCAAGTTAAGTGAGCGTTGAGTGACGTGAAGTCTTTCATTAAATCCGCTCATCTGCCCCGTTCAGAGCTTCGGGTCCCTTTGCCTTTATAACCTCACCACCCTCTCCTCACTTTTTCTCATTCTCAATTTTCACACCATCTTTTGGAAACGCATCAACTTCTCAAACCTCATAGCTACCTCTTCTGTTCTTTTTGTGTGTGTGTGTGTGTGTGTGTGTGTTTCTCTTTACTAAACACTAAACATTATGCCTCCTCCCATGATGCCGGATTTCTCTAACTCTGTGAAGCTTAAGTATGTCAAACTTGGGTATCAATACCTTGTTAACCACATTATCACCCTCACTCTTGTACCCATCATGCTTTGTGTCTTCATTGAGGTACTACGCTTAGGCCCTGATGAAATCCTCAACCTCTGGAGGTCTCTTCACTTCGATCTTGTTCAAATCCTCTCTTCTGCTTTCCTTATCATCTTCATAGCCACCGTTTTCTTCATGTCAAAGCCACGCACAATATACCTCGTTGACTACGCTTGCTTCAAGCCACCAGTCACTTGCCGTGTCCCTTTTGCTACCTTCATGGAACACTCGAGGCTCATCCTCAAGAACAACCCAAAGAGTGTCGAGTTCCAAATGAGGATTCTCGAGCGATCTGGTCTTGGAGAAGAGACTTGTTTGCCTCCTGCAATTCATTATATCCCACCCAAACCAACCATGGAAGCTTCTAGAGGCGAGGCCGAGCTTGTCATCTTCTCTGCCATGGATTCTTTGTTCGAGAAAACTGGTCTCAAGCCTAAGGATATTGACATTCTTATAGTGAATTGTAGCTTGTTCTCTCCAACGCCTTCTTTGTCTGCTATGGTGATAAACAAGTACAAGCTGAGAAGCAACATTAAGAGTTTCAATCTCTCTGGGATGGGTTGCAGTGCAGGGCTTATCTCCATTGACCTAGCACGTGATCTTCTTCAAGTTCATCCCAATTCCAATGCTGTGATTGTGAGCACAGAGATTATCACACCCAACTATTACCAAGGGAAAGAGAGACCCATGCTTCTTCCAAATTGTTTGTTCAGAATGGGTGGTGCTGCTATACTCTTATCAAACCGAAGGTCTGAACGTAGAAGAGCAAAGTACAGATTGGTCCATGTGGTTCGAACACACAAAGGAGCTGATGACAAAGCATATCGTTGTGTGTTTGAAGAAGAAGACAGAGAAGGGAAGGTTGGGATTTCACTTTCAAAGGACCTCATGGCCATTGCAGGAGAGGCTCTCAAATCCAATATAACTACAATGGGTCCTCTTGTTCTTCCAGCTTCAGAACAGTTACTCTTCCTTATTACTCTCATTGGAAGGAAAATCTTCAACCCAAAATGGAAACCATATATCCCTGACTTCAAACAAGCCTTTGAGCATTTCTGCATCCACGCTGGTGGCCGTGCTGTCATTGATGAATTGCAGAAGAATCTTCAGCTCTCTGCAGAGCACGTTGAGGCCTCAAGGATGACCCTTCACCGCTTTGGGAACACATCATCTTCTTCACTTTGGTATGAACTCAACTACATTGAATCAAAGGGAAGGATGAAGAAAGGAAACAGAGTATGGCAGATAGCATTTGGGAGTGGTTTTAAATGCAACAGTGCTGTGTGGAAGTGCAACAGAACCATTAAGACTCCAATTGATGGGCCTTGGGCAGATTGCATTGATCGCTACCCGGTTCATATTCCTGAGATCGTTAAGCTCTAGGCTCTTGCTTGGAAGAACAAGAAGAAGAAGAAGAAGAAGAAGGAACAAACAAATTGGTTACTTTGGTTTCAGTTACCTGCTAAAATAGATGAGTAATCGTGAACCTTCTCTCTGTTATAGCCCTACCATAATTCTCACTTGTCAGTCATATTGGTTATCCCACTTTTTTTTTTAATATATATATATATATATATATATATATATATTTGTATTTTTATTTTTATTTTTTTCATTTTCCAAACTATTACATGGCCTTCTTGTGAATTTTCCTAGAAATCCCCAATGGGGATTCTATGTATTCACCAATGTGGATCATGTAAGGGAAATACAATTCCAATTTCTACTTTATATTTGCTGCTTGTACTTGGAAGCTTGTAATTAGGACTTGAAATGTAAGAAATACTTCGGTATCAGGGAGGAAGTTTAATAAGCATTCTCCGAAATGTAAGGAAGGAGCAGTGAGATTTTCAGGTTGTGCAGAATGTTACATAAAACCGATGATAATAAGTAATTATCTTCTGATTGTGCACTGAAATAATTGCGACTGCTATTGATTAGAAATACCTAACAATCATAAAATATCTTTCAGATATGCAGTTGGCAAGTTATCCTTTTCTTTCGATATGGTGGTTTTCAATTGTTCTGTCACTTGGTTGTGTTTTGCATTTTAAATTGATGGCTCCGTTGCTTCTCTCTGGTTTTTGTCAATGTTGGCAATGAGATTTTGTTCACGGGGTCCATGATTGGTAATTGGGTGATGGGGGATATGAACATCTTTCAATGAATATTTTGGGCGGAAGAAAGGTAAAGTTAGGGAAAATCACATGAACATTTATGAATTTCCGTCAAATTAAGAATTAAATTGATGGGACTCCAGCAATGTCCATATAGGAGTACTATAACCCACAAAGAAGGCAAGTACTGTAAGCATTTGTTCTTTATGAGGACACCTCAACCGAAGCATCAAGATACTCTCAGCTACCACCAGCACTTCAACCTCCTTCCCAAATAAAAGGGTTTTTTATATTCTTAATTCTCTTTTCTAAATTTTATTAGGTAAAATAAAACAGAATCATGCTCAATTAAAGGAGATAACGCACAATCAACACAAACTCAAATATAATCTTAAAAAAAATAAAATAATAACTAACAATTATTAAAAATCCCTAAACTATGAAATAAATTATGAAAAAACTCAATCCAAATCAATAAGCTCGGATGAAAAAATTATTTGCCGAATAGTCAACATTAAAACATAACTAAATGCATTTTGACATTCTTTAATATATTGACAACGATTACAAGCATTGTCAACTAGGTTATATTTTAATTTTTAACATAATCAATCATACAGAGAAAATAAAATCAGTGGCATGATTTAATTAGCTATTTCATCTCATACTGAGCATTTGAGTAAAGCTGCCCCCACAGCTACATTGGGTTTAAGAAAACACTACATTTTTCAGTAAGCAGATAACAGTCAATAACTTAAGTAAAAATTTGTATATTTTTTAATACTCACCTCATCTATTGTTTACCCTCTTTCTTTTACTAAGCAAAGCTTTAATTTTTTCTTTGTGGGGCAAGATGGTAACTATCATCAAGAAAAGGAGGAAATCAGGGTAAGTAACACACTCGTGTACAAATGAGAGATGGTGAAAGTGAACTTGACGGCAAGGCCTGTCTACCAAACTTTTCAAGACTCATAAAAGATTTGGGCAAACGGCTACTAAGTCGGTTAACAGAAATAGAAGAAAGCCAAAACGAACATGATTGAAATTAATACAACTTGTTAGTTCTAGAATGTGACTGACACAATTATGGGTATGAACTGGCAGGTCATCACCAATACAAAGCAAAGGCCATCGAAATCATGTTATGTTATGCTTCTTGTACATTAATGCCGTTTAGGTGGGTTACATATTTTTCTTTTTTTCCTTTTCTGGAATAAACGACTCCGCAATGATAATTTTACCAACTTATTCAAGCATATGATTGAACAGCAGTGTACAAATTCAGCCAGCATGGTAATTACTAGGGTGATGATTGGTCACGCCAAATTTATAGCTCGGTTTGAATTTGATTGAGCAGAAGAAGTACAATTAGCCCAGAAACTATCATCCCCCGTTTTTCCTTTTTATCCTCTTTCTCTTTCTCTGGTGCCTTCATTACTGCAATTAAATGAGAATTCTTTCATCTGATCAAATTAAGTGATTAGAGTAGGTGAAAAGTGAAACAGAATTTCGAAATTTAAGTTATCATAATGATTTTGCGATGTCCATCAAATATTAAAAAAATCTTAATGTGTTTATGCGAGCTGAGCAATGTGCCTTGTGCCCATATTCAGGGTTTAATTTTTTGGGTAGAGATCGTGCTTAACAAAAGTTTAAGTTGTCATAACTTGTCAGGATCTAGTTTAGATTCCTCTGACCTCTAATTTACATCGAGTGCAAGTTTGATTGTTCTCTCTGTTTTATGCTACATCGTAAATTTGTCAATTCTCAAATAGAAATTTACTATGAAAAAAATGAAATGTTGGAACAAAATCATAAAATTATATCTGTTTTCAAACTAAAATAGAAACTCCCCCATTAAAATATCCCAAAAAAGAAGAAGAAGAAGAAAGTCTTTGATGGTGTCTTGGTATGTTTCATAATTAGATTGCTGAAGAAACAATTTAAAAGTTCCAGTAGAAACTTCCATTAGTATATATAGGGGAGGGCCGGCCAATAAATGCTTGCATCATAATAGGATATTATACAAAAAGACTTAGGCTTTAGTCACCAAATATATCTAATTCAATCGCCTCTAACTTAGTAAAAACGTCATCCTCTCATGATAGCACGTGGTAAACATATACTCTCTATAATAGCATTGCCTTCTCTATCAATCTACCAATAGTTTCTCTGTGATCAATTCCGCTTCTTTGTTGTCATTTGTAGCACTCTTTCTCTTTCAAGAGTCATCATAGGTTGAGTAACAATAGTCTCAACATTTTCCATTGTCTCTTCATTTACAGAAATTAGCTTTTCAATCCCATCAATGGTTGGCTTATTCTTTGTGGCAGCCCATCCTTGTCGGTTTTCCTTTGCATTTTTAACTCTACCACATGATGCTCCCTCTATTCAATTAATTTGCAGTCGCTAGTGTCATAATCTGGAACTGAGCCTAATAAGTAATAACCCACTTTTGCAATTGTGGTTGAAGTCTTAAAGAGGTGCATTCCTTATGCTTAGTCTACAGCTAGCACATAGAGAAATTAATTAGCGGAAAAAGTTTTTATACCTGTAAAGTTTTTATAAATGTGCAGAATAATCATCAAACTTTTCAAGCCATAAGAATTGTTTTACACACATTGAGATATTTGAGAATCATCTTGCATAATATTTAGGAGTGAGTCTAATCCTTTAGTCAATCGGCAATTATATCTGTCTAGCTTATGTAGCAATTGAAAAAAGAAAATGACCATGTCCAATCCTGCCAGTTAGTAGTCTGCCTTTCACACTGGATCACGGATATCTCATATATGTAATTTTACTTGCTAGGCTAGTCTTGTATTAATGTTCGTTTGGTTGCAATTTGATAAAGCTCTGTCCGTGATCAGATCCAATTATGCTTTACTATCTGTTAACAGGTTCGCATCAACTTATCTCTTCATTATTATCGCTAGCTGAGAAAAGTAGGTTCACTTGACATGAATTTACAAACACTACCTCTTATCGTGAAATCTGACATACTTTTAGTTAAAGCAATGTTGAATAAAAAATTGTAAATCTGGTTTTAAATCATTTTATATGTGTTTAATTGTGGAAATAAATAGATGTTAAAGATGGTCAAAATATTCAACCAAACTGAGTTAAATCTGAGATGAATAATACCTCGGAAACAAAGCTAGAATAAGAATATAGCTGTAGTTGCAGAGTCTGAATCAGGACAATGACCTTAATCAATTGCTCACTTGGTGTATATTAGTGTATGAAGTTCACTTTTGAATTTTAAGCTCAAAAACAATAAAGGTGGTGTATTTTATATTTTTCGTGGCCGATTTGATAGTGACCATTCAAAATGAGAAGGCAATCGATCAAGAGTGCAATAAATGCCACGTGAATTAAATCAATCATATCATTGATTAATAAATAATTAATTGTATAATTGACTTAATGCATGTAACTTGAATGTATTGAATTTATGCAAGTATTTCTCCCCTACAGCCTGGACAAGAAGGTCAAAAGGATGGTAAAAGCCAAAATTTGACTGTTGCTTCATAAATAGTAGTGCAGTGTGCCGGCCCAATTTGTTAGCAGTTGTAGGGCTTGCTATATGCATGAATTGAATGGCCTGTTACAACATGGATGGAAATGTCATACCTCTCTCTCTCTGATAGCTAGCTCGTGTTTTTAATAAGCCATGTGGGTCTAGCAGGTCATTGATTTATGGTGATTTTCTCGGTACATGGCCGGTTGGCTTTTTCTTGTGCATGTTAGATTTGGTTGTTGAAATTGAAATTCGATACCTTTTAGGCTTTTACTTCTATCGGGGTTTATTTATATGTGGCCTTTTTGTCAGGACTCTAAAGCAATGGATATGTGACATTTTCTGAGTCAATCATAGATAACTTTCCCTCAGGCCTTCCCTGTGGCTAACTCTTCACTCTGCAGTTATGATGAAGTATGGCAGACTGTATCCTTAAGTCTTTTTCAGACAAGTAAATGTTATTTTTTTTTTCTTTTTTTTTAGTACAATAGTAAATGTTATTCTTAAAGAAGCCAGTGAGGGGCTCCATTGATACCATATTCTGTTATAGTATAGTATATAATAAAAAAGAAAAATGAAAAACATTACAGAGGATGCAGCTAGGCTGACATGTTCATGAATGAAAGCTGGCCTAGACATAATACTTATTTAAGGTTTTCTAGAAGCTAAAAAGTTGTATACATTTTCAAGAAGACTACCAGAAAGTTAATTGAGTATTTTTTCTATTTTTTTATTTTTGGATAATCACATGTAGAAAGGCAATTTTGTTCGGGATGAGTTCAGGATTAAGACTTTAAACTCATCCTAAAAATAATACCGGGAAGGATCGAATCCATGATCAGTGACGTTTAATAGTTGCGTCAAAATGAATATTAGTAAGGAGTTTTTAATTTTGCGATTAATTTTTTGTCATTATTATTGCCGCTTTGGTGGAGATGGCAAGGAAAAAATCTAACTCGTAAAGAAACAAACACCAGAATTATTAGCTATAAGTGGAAAAGCAAAAGCTGCGGAGGAGAAAAAATTTGTTATCACTTAAACGTTTATTGTAAAAGATCCTATCTGATTCTGGAAGGAATTCCAACCATTATGTCACAAGCGTGCAAAATAGAGAGATCAATTGAAGAAACTAATTAATATTTACCATTTTCAAGCACTGCATAACTCCTAAACATAGCAATCAAACGAAAGTGAAAATTAGAAAACACGTTTTCCAAACATATATAAATGACGGAAGAGAAGAGAAGAATGTCTTACACATAAACAGTTAGATTGAATTGTAGTAAGCTTGAGATGGTGTTT